AGTCTCTTGATTCTCTATTCCCTGCCTTTTCTACATGCTTTCTTGGAAGAAAGGTCAAGTTTCCTTTGTCTCAAAAGCCTCAGTGCGCCTTTGGTATTAGGAGAGCCTACATACTAACGTAAATATAGACAGCAACAGGAATAATATTAAAATAGGCTTCGTGTTAGTTTCAAATCAGTGGATAGACCTGAAAGTTTTGTAAAATAAAAGCTACTCAACTACAGTGAGAGTAAGTTTTAAAGTGTTGCATATAAGTTCCTTGACCCCTCTAGGATTCTTCCAGAAAATACAGTGCCTGGACTGACAAATTCACCCCAAACTACAGGTAGAACCTTTTACTTACTGTAAAGGAAATAAAACCCAGGAGGACTCATCCCTGTTTCTTTCATGCTGTTTTGTTCCTGGCTCAGCCTAATTTCTCGAACCTCCTTCCTTCATTTTTCTGTCTTGTGCTACTTCTTTTGCCAATAGCGTCTTCCTCACTGAGTTTCTCTCTTTAGTTTTGAATGACTTGTCAGTGTTTCTGGAGAATGAGGTTTCAGTTGGCACTCTGAAGAAGTTTGTCTGAAATTTAATGTGGGTGGGGTTTTTTTTGTTTGTTTGTTTGGTTGGTTTTTTTTGCCTGAGTAGTGGTGGTGGGTTTATTGCTTTCTTTTCTGAAATGTATCTACAAGGCAAACTGGTTCCCTTCTCCTCTTTTCTTTACTAAACTTAGGCATTAACAGTAAAATGAATTATGGACTAGGAAATGAAGGTGCTACACACTTACCTGCATTTGAAATAAGTCATTTTTCCTTGCTCAAAAACCAATGCCTTGAAGTTTATGAATAGCTTATGAGTAGTTCTATCAAGGTCAATGGACTTACTCATGCATTTGACGCTGTGTATAGAAGAAGAAATTTAACTGCACAGCTGTCTTGTGGACTTAATGATTGATGTTCCCTTTGAAGATGGGATTTATAGCACCTTTTGAATCCTTGAAATCAAACAGAATGGTTAGCTGTTCTTTTCATTGCACACTGCATTAATCTCTTTCCCTGTCTAGTACCTGTAAGGACACAACGGCAGTTTGGCAGTTGCGTACAGTTTCATGAAAGAGAACATCTAATACAACGAATTTAGCAAAGTTATTTCGCATTTCCAGAGGTTTCAGTGACATGAGGAAAGAGGAGCATATGTGAAGGTTCACAGCACCTCATAGTCATTTTTGCCTCTGTTGTTCTTGTAGATGAGACTGCTCTTGAGTGAGGCTTGGCAAATGAGTCCTTCAAGGAAGGGAGGTCAAGAGTAGCAGTTTTCTGTACTGAATCAGTTGTTGGGGAGGGTGGGGAGTATAGTAAAGGGCAAGGTTGGCAGTGTAAGATTGGCTTGGCAAAATTGCTTGAGTTCTGGGTGCTCATGCCAGTGCCCTTCCAAAAGAAAAAGAACCAAGCAAACTAGGTGGGGGGGAAAAAAAAAAAAAAAAAAAAAAGCCAAAGGGCCCATGAAATAGGATTCTTGACCTGAGCAATGGAAGCCTAATTAGTGTCTGGGCATTTTTCAGAGGTGCCTGTAATTGTACTTTGGGCTGCTTGATCTTTTTCCTAGTCTTTGCTTTTTGATAGCAATCCCATCTCCCCAGAACTTCCTCTCCCATAGTACTCTGGTCCTCCTTTTTATTTTTTTCTCCCTTCTTGGAATAGGCACATGGATCTCAAACTAAAGAAGCTTCCAAGTGCTCCCACAGAAAATATCTTATATGCAGGTACTATGTAATGACAAGATTTTGTTGTTATTTGATTATTTGTCAACCTTACAGCAATATCTGAAAATGGATATCCTTCTCCTCCTACTTACTGTTCTATGGCTGTTGACAGAGGTCTTTGCAGGCAGCTTTGCACAGCTCAGACTGCAGTATGGTTTTGTTCTCTCCTAGTCTGGTCATGGAGCCCAGGGATCTTGCTTTAAAAGCCAGATACACACTGTTTTACACCATTATTATGTTGCTTTTCCTGCTGTTTTAGTGCTATAGATGATGTATAGCTCGTGCTTATCTGAAAGTTTTAAGTCCTCCTCTTCTTCCTCCAACATCCTGCAGTCTCAAGAGCAAAAAATATGGTCATAGAAGAGAAATAATATGAAAAATATATAGTGGAAGGTATACCCATGGGTGATATAGGTTGGCAGAGCTTGAAAATCCAAGGTGAATCTGCTGGTGTTGCTTGCTTAGTGAAGGTCTGAGTAGAAGTGCCTCAACGCTCCCCCTGTGCTGAAATGGTGTCTGGTTGTAAGCAAGTCACCCATTTGTTCCCACTACCCGTGGGCAGCCTCCAGAGCAACAGGCCACCTGGGAGGCAGTGGCAGGCAGACAGAGGCTGTGCTTTCCTTTCAGTACAAGTACAGTTTGCTTTCTTTTACTCAAAACTGCTCCCTGTAAGTAAACAATTGATTGGTGGGGAGGTGAAGAGCAAATTTGATTTTGGAAACCTATTTAACTAGAAGCCTTTGTTGCTACATTTCATTATTTTTGAAGGCATGGTCATCTGGTGAAGTGTTTGATGCTGAGAGAAAGCTGACATTGTTTGTTACTTCAAATATTTTACTGTAGATTGTCTTTGTAAAAAATCATAAACAGCTGTCCTCGCACCTACTATTTTTTAATCTATACACCTTTTAAAATCACTTGTGTAAACCTCCTGTGAAAACTGTACACTGCTTAAGTAATACCAGTGTGTAAGGGCTTGACAAGATCTGAGTCCCTAACAGAAGTGGGAGATGGGCAGCTTCTTCAGTCCCTGTTTTGCAGATGGGAGGCAGCAGATGTAGCATAAACTAAGTTCACACCCTCAAAATAGTTGAGGTCTGGCTTTTCATGTGGCCTATCAACAGCTCTCCGTTCTGCCTTTACTTAATCACAATGGTACAGGAAAGATGTGGCAAGAGGGAAATTGAAAATGGTTCCTTCTTTGTCCCAGATGGAAACCCTAATCCTGGAGCTGTTGCTCTTGTTTCTATAAGAGAGATTTCTTCCTTCTGTCTTGAGTACTAATGGAAGGAGAGAGATTTAGAAATGTTTTATTTTATTGTCTTTGAGAGAATGACAGTATACCCTGGTAAGAGCATGATGACTTTTGTGTAAGTGAGCTGATGTTATCAATGAGTGATGCTAGTGTTGGCATTTTAAATTTGGTTCCCTGTCAAAGCTTCCTCACTACCTTTGCAAATTAAGTATTCCAGAGGAGTCCTGATACTCCTGTGGTAAGGGGAAGATGTTAAAAATCCACAGGACATGAGCACAGGCAAAGGTTATGTCCAACCAGAATGGCAGTAGGAGTCAGGTGGGCAGAGAGTCAGTCCTAAACTTGGAACTGCTCCAGGAAACTTTAAAATCTAGACTGTAGGCACTTCAAAAGTATTAAGAGAAGGTTTACACTTTCCATACTTTGTCCTAATGATGTTCAAGCAGACCCACTAAAAGGCAATTTTGTTGATAGTGAGATTTTTTTTCTAAATTATCTTTAATTTGGGTTTTTTTGAACTATAGAGTAAATTTGCCATTTTGAGACTGGAACTAAGTCCTCTATTAGCAGGTACATAGTTCCATGTTAACCACATTTTTCAGTTTCTTAATGTGCTTTTTTTCCTATGTCAGTCCAGGAGCAGTATTTCTCTGAAAGTATGTCACTACTTCACTGACCTGTCTTACCCCACAGATTTTTTCAGGAAGATGATATAAAACATGTTCTTTTTTTTTTTTTTTTTTTCTGAAAATAATGACAAATATTTTTGTTCCTCAAAACAACTGTGGGCAGGAAAACATAAGGTGGAACCTGTGTTGTTATTTGGAAAATAGTGGGTTTGTTCCAATTAAGTTACATCTGGTGGAGAATTCTGTGGGGCATCTGTGTGAAGTGTTTGGCCCTGAAATCTCCCAGCAGAGTTATAAAGTGTATAATGGAGGAAGGTTGTGCTGGTTTTGAATTTGCCTCTAACTTGTATATAGAAGTCGGTCTAGGGTTCACATGACACAAACTAAGCTGCATCTGAGTGTGTTCTAAAACCAGTTTTGCTTCTTGCATGTTTTCCCACGATAAAGTCACGGAATCATAGCATGGCTAAGCTTGAAAGGGACCTCTGGAGGTCATCTAGTCCACCCTTTCTGCTCAGGCAGGGCCACCTAGAGCCACTTGTTGGAGAATTGCATCTTTAGTTTCAGAGAAAATAAGGAGAATATGTTGCTGTACAAATGGAAAAGACATTTGGCTTTTCTTACCCTCTGACCTTTCATCAGGTGAGCAGGTTTGGGTGCACAGGCAAGGTGCTGGCTGTATTCTGATAGCAGTTTGCAGGTGTAGCACCTAGAAATCAATTTGTCCAAAAAACATATGAGGAATGTGGCAGCTAATTAAGATAGTCATTCCATTTAAGGCCAGGATGTAACTGAGAGCCTGAGTGAAGGAGGACTCGCTTTTGCGTCTTCGCATGAAAAACACATCTATTTGTGCTTTAAAGACGATGAAGGTACATGAGCAGATTTGTGACACTGCAAGCAACCTCTTGTTTGGTCTTGCATTTTCTTTTAGTGCTTAATTATACCTAGCTTTAAAATATTTCTGTGAAAATTAAAATGTGCAGTCATCACTTGGTACCCTCTAATGTGGATTGCTAGATAGACATTGTGGTGGGTTGACCTTGGCCAGCTTCCAGATGCCCACCCAGCAGCTCGCTCTCTCATTGCCCTCAAAAGAAGAGAAGGATGATAAGATGAAAAAACCTACTTGATAAAGATGGGGGAGATCCACTTACCAGTTCCTGTCATAGGCATAACAGGCTTGACTTGTGGAAGGTTAATTTATTGACAATTAAAATAGAGTTGGATAATGAGAAACAAAGACATAACTTGTAATACTTTTTCTCATCCTCCACCTTTTTTTCCTAGGCTCAACTTCACTCCTTCATTCCCAATTCCTCTGCCATCTCCTTACACCTTTATATACTTTTCTTATTCTCATTTTTTTTAGGAGGGGCAAGAAGCACAGTATAATTCTGAGGACCCAGCTGTCGGTGAGAGTCCATGCCTGCATTGGTAAGTGAAGTTCCACATGCCTGCAAGAGAACAAATAAACAGAATCAATCTCTGAGAAGCAAATCTGGGGAGTATGAACCAGACTTGCTGTGTTTCAGGTGGAGGATAATGGCCAATAAATTGATTTATTTCTTCTGTTTGGGTGCTAAAATTAGATTGTATTAGTTACATTACCCTTAAAGTATGTTAAATATCCCAGGGAAATACAGCATTTGACAGTGAAGTGTGATGGTTGGGGGTGTTTTGGAGAATTCTGGATTATCTGTCTTGCCACAGCTTTCGTGGGTGCCTGAAGAAGAAGATTGTGTTCTGAATTGGGAAGGGGATCTGAGGAATTGTTGGCTGACAACTTACTACTGCATTTTAATAGCATGTAATGTTTATTCACATCTTGCAGATCTTGGCTGCATATTTGTCATTATCGCAGTGTCAGTGTCTTTAAAAGCCCTGGTTAAAACAATGCTGTCACAAGAAAAAGTGCAATGAAAGTCATAATGTGCGTGTTAGAAGAGCTTTAAGGTTGGAGAAACAGAGGCTGATGCGCTGTGATGGTGTTAGTATGTTCTCCAGCATTCTGCAGAGCAGAGTGTTTCACTGAATGTTAGTGGCAAAGCTAATGCTCGTGTTCTGGTGATATTATGATAGTTGTGGTTGTTTGGGTTAAAAAAAAAATAAAATTAAATCCTGTACGTATATGCCACAGTCACATGTTTTGTTTCCAACTTCTCCATAGTGGATTCAGCACCCTGGTATGTTTAGCTTGTTGGTCTTCCTTCAGAAGATCATAGCTGAAGCACTGATCAGATATTTTAGAAAGTCAAAGTTTTATATTATTTCCCCACTGCTACTGCTGTCAGAGGATTCAGGCTTTAAATACAACTAAACTTCTTTCCCCTGCCCCCAGGATGTGTTATGAAATGGCTTTTCTGGGAATTTGAACTGAGCATAAGCAACCTACAGAATTCCTCGAATACCTCCCATTGAGAGCGATCTCTAGGCTGCCTTATGCAGGAATAGATTCTCCTCTACTACCCTTGACTTGAAGTACAGTAGAGAAAGCCTACGTGTTAAATATTAGAAGAGAAACAGAGGTGCTGCAAAGTCTAGGCTGATTTTATAAATGTGAATGAAATTGAGAACAGCTTGGAGAAGCTTGTTCTTGTTAGGTCTGGGAATATATTTGGCAAAACAGACCAGTGCTGCAAGACAAGATTTAATATGTTTCCTGGACTGAGGTTTTATAAAAACAATTTTAATGTAAAATTTTTTGTCCAGAATGCAGCCGTCGAGGAATTGGAGCACACCAGCTTCTGAGCTTCCATGTGTGCTTGCATTGTTGTTATCTGTTTGCATTCAAGCTCGCTGTGGACAATTAGGTGTATTACTGTGCATGTATTTTAATTGTTCCTGTATGAAAGTGCATTCCTTTGTCAGGTGCTGTTACTCTCTGGCAGTGGTGGTGCATTCAGCGGTGAGTACAGAGGAAGACAGGCTGCAAAACTTGAGTCCAGATTTCAAACTCCTAGAGCAGAGGTGTGTTTTGGATATGGACTTTTGGCTTGGTTTGTTACAGTGAGAAGAGCCAAATGCAAGATCTGGTTCTAATTTCCCACCCTCCTGCTGTAGTTTAGATTTTTAGGGTAAGTTTTTGCTTGAGCCCGTAGCTTGGTGTAATGTAGTTTATTCTATCTTCTTTTTAATTTCTACATATCAAACGTGTTTTGTTTTCTGATATGGGACAGTTTGAAAAAATGAGGGACACCCTGCACTTTTTAGTACTAGCTTTGTTTGGTGACCTGTGCCTGGCAGTTAAAATTATCACAGGATAGGAGGGTTTTTTTGCTGGCACAGTGGGTACTTTTCTTCATCTTGCATGTACTTTCACATCAACTGCTTGTTAATGTCTTTTTTTAAATATAAGCATTAGGTTTAGAGTTTAAAAGATGTGTTACATATTTGGAGTAGAAGCCAGGATCTAGAGCAATCTGAGATGGTGTTACATGGAATAGAACTGTCTTGCTTTGGTTGTTTTCTTTCAGTCTTAACAATATCCTTGGAAAGTGTTGTTAGCAGTGTTACTGACTGCAAAGTCCCCAGCAGGTAGCTAGGACTGCTTTCTGAGAAGATGCAGTTTGGTCTGTAGTGCCCTTTCTACAGAGCCTCCTGTGATCCTTGCATTCAAGGTCTTACTTGGCTCTGAAGAACTGAGAGGTGTAAAGTATCTTTTCTGTCATAACCTCTCTCATTTGGAAGGTGGACCAGTTTTGTTTTGGTTTTTTTTTTTCCTTCCTAACATGTTGTACTTTTAAGTTGTGGGAAATGCACAAGTGTTTATGTTCAGATGTCCAGATAAAGTTTTCCATGATTAGTGATTTCAAATCTCTGGGGAATTAATTGGGATCTAGTGTCAAAGGATGTATTATTGACTACAGGCCAATATTTTGAGACTGGGGAAGCTTTAGCAAATCCCATGTCAAGTGGGGTAGGTAGTTTTGGTCTTAAGGGAGGAATAAAGCTTAATAACTGGAGTGCGGAAGTTGTTAGTGTGTGGTATTTTCTGCCCTGTTGCATTCCAGTCACTCTTAAGCATCTCAATTTAATTAATACTTTATTGTTTTCTCTCAATTTGAGTTCTTGTCTTATGTTCACACTAAGGACTTTCAGCACAGAGGAAGAAATTTTCTTTTAAATATTGCTGCTCTTTTCCCATTTTAGCTTGATCCTGATTAAATGGTCAGGACTATTTAAAAGGTAATTTAAAAAATAAATATTCAGTGGTTTTAATACAAACAGCAATGTTTACATTTTGTTGATATCAAAAGACTATTGCTGAAACCAGTCTTGGTCATAGAATGTAACTAATAGTAAATTATAGATGTACTGTTGTACTTGTTGATGTTAAAAGACCTTAGTGGAGGAAGATCAGTCCTTAAACCACATAATGTCAATTGGGTTTTCTTCATAATTTGTCAAATTTGACCTTTTATTCAAATTACATTTATTGTGAGTTAATAGCCTGTGGGAAAAGTCTTTCTGGTATTTTTGGCAGCCTTATGACTTTCCATGTTTGTATTTAGTTGTGTCTTTAATGTAATTTTAGTTTGTATGTATTTAACGATTACAGAGCTCAGCCAAAGCCTTGGTAAAGTCTATTGTAAATGAGGATGTAGCTTTACAGGACAAATATCAATAATGCCAAAAAAGTTAGCTCCTGAAACTAAATAGAAGGTTGTCATCAGAGCAATTCTTTGGCAATGAAGTTATAAAGATCTTTAAAAGTTACACTCTTCCTGGAGAGCAACTTGGTTTTATTCATTATGCCCTTGCATGGACAGCTCTGTTTGCAGCTGCTGCTTCATTTATCTGTTCATTGCTTCTTGGTAGTTTCTAAGGTGGTCTCTGAGAGTAAAGGCACCATTTACTCTTACATATCTGGACACAGCATCTAGCCCAAGAGGGCCCCATGTCATCTTTTAAAATGCTTATGCCTGTGATGGGGAATCAGGAGTGGTGCTCTTGTTATTGAGAATGAGGTTTAGACAGAGACCCATGACAAGCACTTAGAGTGATTCTGCTGAGGGAAGTCTGACATGAGCTTCAGGTGTTAATACAATGTAATACAAGAAGAATGCAAATAACAAAAGTTGATGTAAGTTTGTATTCATGTATTGGCCTGGGATTGCTCAGAGTACTGTAGCTTGGAAGGTCAGCAAATGTTGTAAGGTCTATTTTAAATTTTACATCTCCTTTGTGTCAGTTTATTATTTTAAAAAAACCCAAGAGGAGACACACCCACCCTCTCTGCAGCCTCAAGGTTATTTAAAATGGTTTTGCTTTGTAAAATTATGGTTTTGTGTGGTTATAGCTCCTTCCTGTATTTATGAAGAGGCTTTCTTTTATCTGCCTATAAATTAAAACTAATTTGCATAGGTATTTGTGTGTATTATATTTCATAGCTTGATACAGCAAGGTCCCTAAATGGTGGGCAAGTATATTATTCTAAGAGTCTTGCTAAACATACAACATAGTTTCATTATTAGTTGTTATAACCATTTTACAGTCCTGTTCTATTGGCTTTTGCACATGAGCAGTTGCAGATTTACCCAAAAAGGGTGCTTAAGTGATCTACAGCATGCCTGTCCTTCCCCATCTTTCCATGGGGACTCAGCAGTGGGTTATGCCAAATAGCTACCCTGCTGCATGGCAACTGTTTCTAGCCCCTGTTATTAGAGCATCTGCTTTACCCAGCAGTGTTAGCACCATAAATCCAGCTTTTCCACTTAGCTCTTTTGATTGTCTTTTTGACATACTCTTGCTATTGATTTCTTTCATGAAATGTATCTGTAAATATCTTCTTGAGCCCCTTTTGTTCTGAGATACCTGAGGGAACCTGTAAACTCACTGTAATTAGGAGGCTACTAGCCAGCTGTTTTTATTTGTCCTGTAATGGCTGAAGTATGCAGCTAGTCCTTTTTTCCATGTATGGTTTTCCCTTCTGTTATCCATTATGTGGACTTGTTGCATGTATTACAGCAGATATGATTAGGTTCAGCAACTATTTATGCATCTACTGAACTTTCTGGTAGGACCTGTGCCTCCAGGTACTTGAGATGCAAGTTCCACCCTGGTGGAACCACAGTGCTTTCACAAAGACAAAGTCATGTCTTAAGTCTGTAACTGTATCTGGCACTTTGTTACAGAGAAGTTAAGATACACAGATGGAAGTGGGGAAAAAACCCATGGTTTGTCCTCTTATGAGTATAGTGTTAAAGTGTAGAAAAGCCAGTACAGTTCTGGTTAAGGAAACAAGTGGAACAGTTGTGTTTCATTCTCTGAGGGCAGAGTTAAGTTTGTGCCTACAACTTGTGTTACTAATACTGTCTCACTTGAGATGCTTCTCCCTATATTGCTATTGTATTGCATTCATCTGTTTGGCATATGTGTGTTTGCAGTGTGGTAAGTGCTGGAGTAGAGTTCTCATAGCCATGGACACTCTGAAG